TCCCAGTCAGAAGGCCCTCTACAACGATGTCATGCAGAAAAACTATGAGACTGTCATCTCGCTAGGTAAAAATGCTCCCCTTCTCTTTGCATAGAAGTTGAATAATCTGTCATGGTCTCAGCATACTGAGAATGCACCTCTGGGAGAGCATCTCTGTTCTAGTAGGTGGTTGGTTCTCAACTAGATGGCATGTGTGCGTAAAAGGTGTATTCAGGTCACCTGGGAGCTTTTTCCAAGTGCATATGCTCATTCCTTATCCTAAAATTCTTGATCCTTCCCTCTTCTCTCCTCTCCAAATCTGCTCTTTTACTTTTCCATTCCCATAAATGCACCACCGTTTATCAAATAGTTTAGGCCAGGAAACTTAGGTCATCCTTTAGCCTGATCTTGCCATCATACCCCATTATTAATGTATCCCTATTCTCTTAGCTCCACCTTTACAGCATAGCCTGAGTCCAACCATGGCTCATCCTTTGGCGCTGTTAACATTCTGGTCTAAGCCAGAAGCTTCTTTAACCGGTTCCTCCTTAGTAGCTTTCTAACTGGAATCCCGGCCACCACTCTTGGCTTCCCACAGTCTGTTTTCCCATGAAGCACCCAGAGTCTTTTAGAAACCTGATCAGATCATGACATTTCTCTGCTTCAAAACCTTATGATAACTTCTCACACTTTCAGAATAAATTCTAAACAACTTAGAAGGTGTGTAGGACCCTCCAACATCTGGCCCTTACTTACCTCCCTACCCTCATCTCCTGCCATTCATACCCTGGTTCCATATTCTTTAGCCACATTGGTCTTCTTGCCATTTCTTGAACTTGGCATGTTCATTTTTATCTTCCCATTTCCTTTTCCAGGCACACTGGACACTGATTGTGGCATTTTCCAACATCTCTAATTTTTGCCCAACAGAACAATGTCATGTAAGGAAAAAAATTACATTTCCTCTTACTTTATTAATGAAAACTGAGGACAGTCAATTGGGGAATGGTTATAGGGTCTGAGAAAGCCAATACTTCTAAAGGAGCCCCATCTATAATGAAAGAATTAGGATCTTCTATAGTTTAAAAATGTGCTCAGGATGTTCATAGACACAAGCGAAATTTCCTATGATTCTTTTCCACCCATAGCCATGCCTGCTCACCAGACCCTTGCCTTTCCTGAGCAGACAAACACCAAAGACTGGACAGTGGCATCTGAGCTCGTCTTGCCTGAGTCCCAGGTGAGCTGTGCTTTCCAGCTGTTTAGGGCTGCCTATGCCAGCTGCCCATGATCCTTACTGTCCAGCAGGTGCTCAGAGGCATGTTATCCCTGATACTCTCCTGGGGACCTGGACACCTCTCAGGCTGCTTGCTGATCCCTTGCCTCCTTCCTTTCTTCCTTCTTTCTTTTAAAAAAATCGTGTGCTCTAAATTCCTTCAGTGCCTGGCCTACCATGCAGTTCGAGGGCCAAATGGCAGGGCTGCTTCTTAGGTGACAGGTATGGAGCTGAAGCCCATTCTCTTCTTTAGAGCNGGTAAATCGGCCAGACGCTGTAGGAGACAGGTGAAAAGGTTCCCATTGTCCAGGAAGCATGCTGTAGTGGAAAAAGATCGGATAACAGGGGACCTAAATTCCAGTCTAGGAGCTGCCACTGGTAAATTATGTGACCCTGGGTAAGTCATTTCTTAGCTCTCAATTTCTCTGTCATGGAGAACTATAAATGTAACCTATTTCACAAGTTGAAACCTACCTCACAAGAGAAAACATCGTTGTGAGGGAAACGCGGCCCAGAAAACGGTAGACCAATCAGGGCCGCTGATCCTGGGCGAGACAAACGGCTTCCTCCTTGAGGAGACTGCGACGAGCCCCGGGACCACTGCTCCGGCACCGCCTGCTGGGTTGCAGGAAGGCCGAGGGCCACGCGAGCGCAGGGGGCGGCAACCTTTACCCGGCTGGACTCCCTATTACCAGGCCGCAGACCGCGGAAGACGACGCAGGAACCACCCCGATGCGTAACGCCCCAAAAGCCAGACCGCGAGATGGCGATAGGGACTGGCCGAGCCGCGCGTAGGGCCCCTCTAGGCACCGCGGGCTGCAGACTCGGTGGCATTAACTCTTTCGGGAACCAGGGTAGAACCTGGCAGTGAATCAGTTCCTTCGGCTAAGCCTGGAACCTCGGCGTTGACTGACGCATCGGGGCAGCACGGAGCCACCCCGGTATTACTCAACTTCCGGTTCCGGTGGGAGCGTGGGTCCCAGAGCACAGCGTCGGAACGCCACGGGGGAGGCGAGGTTACCAGGGGGTCTGTGGTAGTGCCAGGCCTGTGACGCATAACTCGCACGCCTCCGCTCGCTGGACTCCTCTTCTAAGTGGCGCAAGGCGGAGAGCTGCGGCGCTTAATCCGCGGCCGGAAGGGCTGCGACTTGCAGTTCAGCCCAAGGAAGAGGCAGAGCTCTCCACGTAGTCCAGCTTCCGAGGTAACCAAGAAGCGGCTCCCTTTCGGCGTCGGCTCCGGAGGCCCCGAAAGCCGCTGGCTGCAGCTCGTTGCGCTTCAAGGAGGGTGGAGGCGAGGCAGCCATTTTTCGTGGTCGGGCGGCCGGAGCCGGCGGTGCGCCTTTGGGAAGGCCGGCCGTCAGGCTGTGCAGGCTAATCGTTCTGCGCAGATATCCCCGGGTCTGCGGCTGGTGCGCATTCCGACACTGCCCGCTTGCACAGTGCTTATGAGCGCCTGTCCGCTGTTCAGACGCGGGGCGATCAGTAATGTCCATTTTCCCGCCGCTGATGGCGTTTCCCTTGCGGGCTGGAGTGACCGCGAGAGAGCCGCAGTTCAACGCCAGAGAGATCAGCTTCTGATGCAAAAATCGTAGGACCTGTCCCCGTGCCTCCTGAGCCGGGGTGGGCAACAAGGAAGCGGCCATTTGCGAATACCGTGGCATCTCAGACAGAATCTCTGTGCCGGTTCTGCATCGCCTCAGGGAGAGAGAGGCGCACGAGGCTCTCCTAAGCCTCCTTTAGAAATGTCAAGTCAGCAGTAGGGTCACCTTAATTATCACCAACTGTCATTCTCTCCTTTTCTGCGAGATCATATTTGGATAGACATTTTGTAAAGAAAGATCGGCTGCAATTTTTCCTAGTTCAAATAAACAGAAATTTTAAAATACAGGCGTAAATCTTCTGCGTAGTGTCTTTTATACGTCTTACAAAGAAGTTCCAAAGAAGAATGTTGAGCATCTAGTTACCAAATTGCTTGATATTTTCTGAGAAGGTGTAATTTTTCCCTACTTTCCTTCTACTCTGGTCTCACTGTTTCTGAGCTCTCTTGCCAGTATTATATAAAGAGAAGAGAACCTCAAGTGTTGAACAAAGTGGAAGCTTCCATCATCAAAAGAGGATGAAGTGTCATAGAAGTTGTACCCTCTTTAAAGCAGAAGACTAGGATGATATGCTAAAGTGTAAGAGAAACTGAGAATACTCTCCTAATCTTCCCATGAAATGGAGAAGATGAGATAGGAAGCACAAAAATGAAATCTTTGGATAATCCCGAAACTCTTTGCAGCCAGTGGGTGCCAATTTTCTCACACACCAACCGTTCCTCATTTATTATTTTTTTGTTGTAAAGGCAACAAAAAGTCATCAGTTGACATTTGTCTTCAATGAGTTGTGCTGTAGAGCAACTGAATAATATTTTTAAAAGGAGAGAAACAAAGGCATGGCAGTTGATTTTAAAGGGAAGGCAATGCAGGATGTTTCTGCTCATTTTTCTCATAATAATTAGCAAGTAGGAAAATTCATATGACTTTCTTACTGACGTGCACTTTTTTTCTGCCCTCAGTGCCTTAGGAAGAAGATCATTTTATTGATTTTATTCCAGACCAGACTGGGCCTCAGTTGTAAAAGGTGATACTCGTGGTGTGTCCAACACGGGAGCAAACTTCCAGGCAGAATGATGATGGTAGATTGGAAGGTGGCTGAGCATTTGAACCCTCAGATCAGTGCTCTGTGGGAAACCAGTGGACCTGTGGCAGAGAGCTCCAGTCAGAAATATACCTCACACACGGACAGCCTCAGTTCTGAGAGCTCGCGCCAGCACTTCCGGAGCTTCCACTATCATGAAGCAGCTGGACCTCGTGAGGCTGTTGGCCAACTTCAGGAATTATGTCATCGGTGGCTGAGGCCAGAGATACACTCAAAAGAGCAGATCTTGGAAATCCTGGTGCTAGAGCAGTTCCTCACTATTCTTCCCAGGGACACGCAGACTCAAATAAAGAAGTACCACCTAAAGAGCACTGAAGAAGCTGTGGCCTTGGTAGACCACTTGCAGAGTGAATCTGGTCAAACAAGAAATGGGGTGAGAAGAAAGAGTCCCAGTACATACAATGAAATAGGGTGAAGGTGGATATATGGAGGGTGGGGCAGTTGAGATATAAGATGAATTAGGTCAATGATCTATTATTCCTTTAAGCTATCTAGGGCAGGACCTGAAACCACAGACCCGCAGCAGTGTTCATTCCCAAAGTCTCAGAGATCCTGGCAGAGACTTCTCTGGCCTTAGAGAGAGTTGCTTTTTCGCTCTCTCTCGAGCCACAGTGTATTAGAGGAGGGTAATAAGCCCAGTCTGGCTTGGCCTAGCAGATGGGTCTTAGGTTCCTAGAAACAAATAACAGGCAACAAAGCGAAAGGAAGACACAGATCCAAAAAAAGTAGACCACATAGAACCAAAGGAGAGAGGATAGTAAAAAGAAAGAGAAATTCAGCAACAAGGGAAGACTGCAGAGGAGGAAAGATGAGAACAAAAACAGGGAAACAGATTTTGAAATCTCAACAGAGTGGCTGAGAAGAAGGATGCTGAGAGCATCCTTCGTCCCATAGACAGGAGCCTCCCTTAGTGGTTGGTCTTTGGCTCGGCTGGTGAGTGGGGGTCCAGGGTATGCCCTTGGGCAGTTGGCAACACATCAACTGACTTCATGCCTACTGTGAAGAATGCAGGGTAGGGCATATGTTTGGGTCCAAATCATCTGAAGAGAGGTTGAAGCCAGAATCTTTCCTTTCTCCATTTCATCCCGATTCTCTGTGAAAACCCTCCCTGGCCATAGGGAAACTCTGACAGGACAACTTTTAAAATTCAGTTTCCTTTATTTTTTTTATTTTTTAAAAGATTTTATTGGGGAAGGAGTACATTGTGTTTTGTGTTTTTCCAGGATCCATCAGCTCCAAGTCAAGTTGTTGTCCTTCAATCTTAGTTGTGGAGGGTGCAAGCTCAGCTCCAAGTTCAGTCGCCGATTTTCAATCTAGTTGTGGCGGGGGCAGGGCTGGGGGGAGTGCACGTGGTTCACCATCCCATGCAGGAGTCAGCCAACAACTTTGCTGCTAAGAGCACGTGCTCTTACCAGCTCAGCGGTAGCTCCGCTCAGGTGCAGTTCACTGGCCCATGTGGGAATTGAACCAGGGACCTTGTTGCTCAGAGCTCGTGCGCTAACCAACTGAGCCATTCGGTTAGCCCCAAAATTCAGTTTCTTAATCTTTTGAGAAAACTGGAAGACAGGAGACCACTGAGGCCGGGTTGTAGTCAACAGAGAAAGGCTGTTAAGGCAGCATGAGAGCAGGCAGTCTGCAAACCCTGCTAGTGGTCTGACTGGGCTCTGTGCAGAGGGGTGGAGGCCGCTGTGTTGGAGCGCTGGCAGTAGCCACATTATTTCTCCTTTTATTCTAAATTTCCCTGACTTTGCGGATAGATCTTTCTGGAAAATTGGTGGCCCAATGTCTCTTTTAAGTTTTTGTCATTTCCTTTAGTGTCTCACACTTCCCACAATATGAACTCTATGCGTTTCCTCCTCTACCATGACTCCCCAAACCTAAAGTAAGTTCTGTGGCAACAAGAATGGGAATTATTTCCAGGTTGCTGTCCATGAGCTGAGAAAGGAAGCAGTGCTCTTGGGAGAAACAACAGAGGCCCCAGGCTTCAGGCTGAAGCCAACAGAGTTCCAGCCGTCAGTGGGCACATCCCAGGATGAAGAACTTCGGAATATATATCAGGGTGTACAAGAAGAGCTGAGCAGAAATACTCATAAAGAAACCGAGCCTGTGTGTGAGAAGGGTAAGGAGCTTCATGATAATTTCTTTCGTCTGGGAGCTCAGCCAGAGTGCTGTGAGCATTTTCTGGGTGCCCAGCTCTGGATCTGCAAATATAGCCACATTAGCAATTAAGATACACCCCTCCCCGCTAAGGTGTTCTCAGAATAGACAGCTGTGGGTGATGGTGGGGTTTGGCCTAAGGTACAGATATATCCAAACCACAGAACTGTGGTAACTACACCATGAACTCTTAGAAAAGTGCAAAGAGTGGAGGGCACCTTATCGCATAAAATACAGAAGCAATTAGGATCAGAAATGGGCTGTCAGTGGCATAATGTGAACACATTTGTATACCAGGAAAAAATAATAAATGATAAAAAACTACACTTACTGTACACTGAACTCCCTGAGTACTTCATTCTTAAAACGTTTAAGTTTTACTAACTCAGAACAATTTATATCATGAGAAGAAAATAAAATGTTTTTATTTTATTAATTTCACTAATGAAAACGAGAACCTATTTTAGGGGCTGTTAGATACTGTTTCTTATTATCAGTGACAAAGCCACGTCTGGGCATCACACACCCTTGTAAAGCTTTCCCATCTCTACTGAAAGAATCAGGATCTTCTATAGTTTAAAAATGTGCTCAGGATGTTCATAGACACGAGAGAAATTTCCTGTGACTCTTTTCTACCCACAGCCGTGCCTGCTCACCAGACCCTTGCCTTTCGTGAGCAGACAAACACCAAAGACTGGACAGTGGCATCTGAGCTCGTCTTGCCTGAGTCCCAGGTGAGCTGTGCTTTCAAGCTTTTTATGGCCACGTTTACCTAGTACCTGTGACTTGCACTGCCCAGCAGGTGCTCAGAGGGATGTTAGCCCTGATGCTCTCCTGGGAACCTGGACACCTCTCAGGGTGTTTGCTGCTCCCTTGCCTCCTTCCTTTCTCCCTCCTTTCTTAAAAAAAAAAAAAAATCATGTGCTCTTAATTCCTTCAGTGCCTGGCCTGCTATGCAGTTCAAGGGCCAAATGGCAGGGCTGTTTCTGAAGTGGTAGGTACTGAGCTAAAGCCCATTCTCTTCTTTAGAGCCTGTTGACATTTGAAGAAGTGGCCGTGTATTTTTCCCAGGAAGAATGGGAGTTACTGG